TTCAGGCTGGAAAATGCTCCAGGCTGCCAGACCAAAACATGACACCAATGTATGAAGTCTTTGACTGTTTAAGCTATGTGAGTCGATGCAAACTAGGTGGTTGGGGCCGCTCGACAAGAGGAATCGGTGGTTGGAAACTAGGTGATATGGCTCAGAACCGATGTCAGTGGGGTAGATGTATACACACATTATCCTCATCTTAGCGCTGTACTGCATCTCACCATTTTCTCCTTCATTCCTCTCTTTTTGTACTTTATATTTCCTTTGACTGAATTTTCTTTTCTTCATCTTCCACTTCACTAGCCTTTTACTTGATGTACTGATATGAGGTGTGGCAACTCGGACTGTTACGCAGTGATATCTGGCCCTAGTTTGATTTGGATGGATGATAACCCGGTTTCAAAACAGGCAATCGTTGACAATACAAAGGGAGTTTCGACGACGATGTAACTGGTGGAGGTCACCTGTGAACGTTTCTTCTGGCCATCGGGTGAGAAGAAACTGTATTGCTCGCTGTAGTGTATTGTCCTTGCGTGTAGCTGTCTGGATATCGTCTTCGGTGACTGGAACTGTTCTGATGGCTGCGGTTAAGTCAAAAGCTGTGAAATCCTCTATTGAAACTGTTGCAATAACTTTTTCTTCATTGGTCGTAGGATATTCGCTTATAAGACGGGACTTGACCAAACTCTTGGGTGCGTCGGAACTGAATTTCAAAATCATACCCTAGTAACATTAGGGCCCATCGTTGCAGACGATTCGCAGAGTGAACCGGAACACCAGATTTTGAACCAAAAACAGCCAGCAGCGGTTTGTGGTCTGTAAGTAGCTTACATTTGCGGCGATAGACCAGCTTATTGAAACGACGGACGGCAAAAGTGACCAGGGCTTCTTTCTGAATTTAACTTTATTTCCGTTCTGGGATAGACAGCATTCGGGAAGCATGCATGATATCCTTGTCTTTACCATCTGGGAAGACATGAAGAATTACACCCCCAACTCTATGAGACGAAACATCTGCGGCTATGATGATTGGCAACTGTGGGTCATAATGGGTCAGGAAAAGGTCGGACAATAACACAGACTTCAGCTGACGTAAGGCTGTTGTACATTCTTTGGTCCACTGCCACGGAACGCCTTTACCCAGAAAGTGATCTAACGGCGTCTTCACAGCATGCAATGAGGATAAAAATGCTGAATAATACTTAATCAGTCCTAAAAATGATTGTAGGGAGGGAACATCAGTCGGTCCTGGCATTTGATGTATGGCACGAATATTTTCGGGTCTGGTCGGCGACCGGAAGCATCAAAAATAAATCCCAGATATTTGACTGAATGAAGGTTGAACTGACATTTTTCGGGACGAAGACGGAACCCGTTATCTTCTATTCGTTTCAGCACCTGATCCAGTCGGTTTTGCAGCCATTCTGCGGAGGCCACAACAATGAGAATATCATCCAGATACGCAGCTGCCTCGGGTATGCCAGATAATATGGTGTCTATTATTTGTTGGAAAATATCAACGATGGTCAGCGGCGCTTGATCTGACTGCAAACAGCACATAGAAGTATATCCAAAAGACCAAGATTTTCAAACCAATCGAGACTCAGGAGGTTTAAATCAACATCAGATAGATAACAAATTCCACTTATCGAAGTATCGTGAGAAGATACAGCACATGATAACTGACCTGTTAGTGATAATCGACCACCGTATGCGCTAATAGCAGTTTGTACGGTCTTCTGAACAGGAGGTCGACCAATCTTCCACCATAGCTTCTTGGAAGTAATATCGAAAGCTGTGTAGATTTGAAGTCATACTGAATAGTTATTTATCTAGACGGTGATATATTTTCTCCGTGCTGGTGCGTGTGCTTGAAAAGCAGCAGTAAGACTAAGAGATTTGCCGACCACTCGAGACTTCGATCTTCGATGATGACCTGCCTGTTCTTTGTGATGAGTGCTACTTGCAAAATCTGTCATTGTGACCCATAGTAATACAATCTCTGCATTTATTCTACTTATAAAGACAAGATTTAACGAAATGCCATGCACCACAATGCCGGCAGGGGGATGAAGGGGTCTTCGTGTTTGTTTTGGTATTGTATAAGCTGTTGGGATGACGAACAGGAGACGAAAAACCAGGGGTCTTTCGGCTAAAAGAGGATACAGAGGAATTAGATGTCTGGCGAACAGCACACACTTCATGGTCACCCCGGTATCCGGATTGGACTAAACTTGTATCACGTTGCAAGTTGACCAGTCGTTGATATTCAGCAGCAATATCACTCAACGTTAGTGTTGGTTCTTGCTCCAACTGATTTAGAAATCTCATTCTAATTAATATCTGCGAACTTGAGCGACTGAAGGCTGCTTACGAGTGAGCATCAAAGATTTGAATTGGTCATCGGTGATGAACTTCAGCTTGAATTTTTCGCATTCGCGATTAACAATACCAACATGAGTGAGAAAATCATCATGACCATTTTAAGACAACGATATCTGGCATTGAAAAGAGATGAATGATTACCAAAATGTTGTCTAAGGGTTTGTATTGCGGCAACGAAGGAGCGCTCTCTTGGGTTCTGTGGCAGTATTATATTGTGATACTGATCTAATTCGGATGAACTGTTTTCGAAGGAGGAGACGAACTTTCCATGAATCCTCTTGACCAGCAAAATCAACTCTGAAGTGGTCTTCATATCTTCGAAACCAAGTATTGAAAGTCACATTAGCATCCGGATCAAAAAGAAATTCTGTGATACTGGTTGCAGTTCTGTCGACTGTAGGGAATGATATAGCAGGCGTAGGATTCGATGATTCAGCTGCAGTAATTTTGGATTGAGTTAGTAACTCGATAATCTTCATTTGTTGTTCGAGAAAATTGTCCAGCTTCGAAGAATCCATTTTTGATCCCATCCCCGTCGCCACTTACGATACAACGCTCTGAGACGATACGATTAACAATAAAACAATGACTTCTCAACTCGATATTCATCTGACACCAGAAGACGATGGGATTGAAAATTTATTCAATCCGACCGAATAATCATTCGTGAAAACTCAGTCGTTTATATATCCTTAGATGGCCTACGCCAGAGAAGACAAAATGGCAGATTCAAAGTGTGAAATGGACCTATTAGCGTTTAGTGTCCTAAACTGCGGTAAAAATAAGAAACAACATAGCACAGAGAGGGCGCGGAAATAAAGCCTAAACTTTACAGTGATAATATAAACATATTATAAGTTATCTTAGGGATTAGCCATCGCTAACAATTTCATTTGATGATAAAGTCGTGAATGTTCATTGGCTCATATTGCTGGGACATATGTTACGAATGCCAAGTCACCGTCTACTTCATAGCACGATGTTAGGCGAATTAGGTTCAAGCTGGCGAAAAGTTTCAGCGCATGAAGTACCTGACTGTTGGTCTGGGCCATGTAGAAGGATGCAAACAAACCAGTTCTGGTCGGCGTAACAGCAGTTGGAGACTCCAAGTGAGATGACTTAGAATCGGTCTGAGTGGGGCAAATGTATCTACACATTATCTTCATCTTAACCGCTATACTGAACTCACCATTTTCTCCTTCCTCTCTTTGGCTTCTGATCGATTTATCTTTATCGTACTACTGTTACTTGTTGCGCTGATATGAGATGTGACAACTCAGACCATTATGTAGTAATATCTGTTTTTATATTGGTAATAATTGATTGGCACTACAACTTGGGTCATCTGTGGCACCGGGAAGCTGTCTGACTACCTATCAAAAGACGAGTATACTGCACTGCAGTCCGTTCTATCCTGTTATATAGTTGTGAGACATAATCGCTAAAAGTAAAAGATCTGAGGCGATTACTGGATTTTGATCATGTGTCTTCGTATCATTGTTCACGTTTAGTGGGATCATCGCGTTAGCCATATTGAGGTAAGGTGAAGGGTACTAAACGAAACAAACAAGTCGATTGATATGGTTGTAAACCTTAGCCGACTGAAATGGTTTGGACGTGTGCTGCACATGCTGAGCTACCGCCTACCTCGATGTTCCATGCTAGGGGAAGTTGGATTAGGTTGGAAGAGAGTTAAGGGTGGCTAGACCAAGACGTGGCACCGATCGTTAAAGTCTCTTACTTTGGTCTGAGCCGTGTGGGAGACGTAGACTGGGGCTGCGGCTCCCGAGATGAAAGGAACGAGTGGTTGATGACTATTGGTGATATGGTTGAAAATCGGTCACAAATGGATCAAATGTATTCACTCCTTGACATCTAAAGTTTGAATATTCACACTAACCTTTATCTTCAGATTGTTTACACTCTCACATAACTTTGTTTAGTGTGATATCACTTCTTCTATGAATCTGTTGTTTGTGTACCACTATATAGTGTAGCAACTCGAACCGATACACTTCTGTGCTAGGTTCTACTTTGATTTTGTCAGTCAAATTATTGATAATATCATGGTAACTACTTATATCTTGAATTACAAACTTTATGAAATGTATCCTCATTTACGTGTAGATGCTTCATTCCATTCACCGTTCGTTTTAAAAATAAGATAGCCTCATTTACCACATGCTTAATCAGTACTTTAGTTGAACCAAGTATTATCGGAATTGAGGACTTTTGTTCGTTAATTACTTCAACATCAGATTGGAGTCTCTACCTTTGTACACATTTTATCTCTCAGAACATTGTAGAAACTCCCAGGATTAGCTCAGTGACATATCAATTTGTATGAGTATTATCAAGTTTAAATTTTCAAGTAACGACTTTGTTATGCAGATACTAGGATTTCCAACCCAAATGTCATGGTTTTTAGCACCTCCACATGGACTATTTCGTAACTCCGCATAGAATACATTTAGTCAGCTTGCTGACACAGCCATAAACATACCACTGATTTAAAAGGTGTATTACTTTCTAGTGTAGCGTTTTACTTACTAGTATTTTCCCTTTTACAGGATCATTTATTCACCTGAATATCCCTCAGATCATCAGTAACATAAATGACACAGCAACCACCCGTTTTAAGGATTGCTATCATTGGGTCTGGTGGGGTCGGCAAAAGTGCTCTAACTCTCCAGTTTATGTACGACGAGGTAGTCGTCTCAAAATTGTCACTTTTCAATTCATTTAGTTTATTGAAGATTATGAACCTACTAAGGCTGATTCATATCGAAAAACAGAATATATAAATCGAGAAGAAGCACAATTTGATATTCTAGACACTGCAGGTAATCGGTCTATTTTAATTCGAATACTGAAATTTTGCTCATTTATTTCAAAATTTCTGGAAGTATCTTTCCTTAACTGCTGAATTTTATGATACGACATTGTTTCCCAGTTAGGGGAGACAAAGAGATGCGTTATGTATGTCTGAAATTACCTTAAATCCAAGATGTCTGTGAAACATTGCTGGCATGCAGGGACGGGGGGCAAGCAGAGGAGCTATGTTAAGGTCGGGAAAATTCGTCAACATTAACTCGAGACCTGGTTTTAGTGCCTAACAATCGAGGTTGTTACATATCACATCAGTACATCAAGGTAGAATGCATCAGAATAAAAAATGAAGAAGTAATGAATAAAATAATCAAAAGTATTAAAAAGAGGCAGTGAAGTTAAATTAAACGGCGAAATTCGATACGATAGTTAAGATGAAGACAGTGTATGGATTCGTCTGCGCCACTAAGATTGACTCTGAGCCATATCACCTAGGGTCTCCAAGCCAAGCCTGGTGATAAAACTTCCACAACAAAATATCAGAGCTGTAAGAACGCCGAACTAGCAACATCTTCATCTTGAGCTATAAATCATTCCCGTCATTTCAGTAAGTTACTTTGGACAACTGGTTTATCTTCTATTTTTTTGTCGTCCATAAATGTTTACTGTATGTATTTCGTACTCTGTTCACTTGTGTCTTTCTTGCCTACCTCTTACTTCTCTAACTATTTCTTTTTAGAAAATAAACCATCAGTTTACTTCTATACCTAGTTTTGCTTCGCTTCGTATATACGTCCTAAAACCAAGAATTAGAAAAGCAAAACAGAATGTTTGTTTAAAGCCTTACTTTAAAGTTAATTATCAACATAACACTATCTATATTCATTGAAATTTTAATCATGGGATTAAACTTCTGGAGGCTATCGTCAAGGGAGGACCAATTATTTGAATTTAGAGTAAGGAATATATAAAACATACATGGAAGAAATCTTCAGAAATTTCCAGGAATGATTAGTCATTTGTTATCGTAATGCATAGTCTGAGTTCAATATGCATTTTCGATGATGAAAACTAATCTCTATTGTAAAACAGTGCTATCTTATTATTCATTCTTTGTTTGAGAAGTCATACATTTATTGATAGAAACTTAACTAACTATTTCTTTATCTTTTTAGTTCAGATTATAGTTGTTTCACCTTAGTTATTTTTTGTGCACGAATGATTACTTCATTGCAATACTCTTTTGTGTTCGTATTCTGGTTCTCAAAATGCCACGATATTATTAGATATTTCAATCCTTTAGTTGCATTGACTTGGTTTGTACGATGATCATTCATTTCATCATAATAATTCAATCGCATCGAAGTCATCAGTTTAGTATGCAGTTGAACCACCAAGTCTATTGTGCAGTTAACTAAGGCAAACTTACACCCACTCAAATCACCGTTATATCACTTTTGAAGTTAATGTTTCGCGAAGTCTGTGTTCGTCGCTAACAAATATTCGTAAGAGCCTATCAAATAATGAACTAGATTCAATCATTATTCTGTGACATTGATCATTATTTTTGCAATTGTCTTATTTGCTGACCTTTGCTAAACTAAAATTTGACATTTTGAAAAATAAACAGGTCAAGAGGATTATAATGGTATTCGAGACTACTACTTTCGAAGTAGTGAAGGATTCTTACTCGTCTATTCTATTGATGATGAAGAGTCTCTACGTGCTCTGCCTACATTTTAGTAAGTGCATCGGTATTTAATTAAATCCGTTCTCTGTTTTCTTGTTTGATTATTCAATTTGACTACTCTAATTAAAAACATTTAAAGTTTCTGAATGTTCTTCAAAATAGCAGATGTTGGTTATCAACTATATTGTGTCATGTAAGCTAATATCATCCGATGTCGTATTAGAAATATGAGAAGTAAACCGAAACTATACCGAACAAGGATTAAGCGTATTTAAACGAGTAAAGTATTTCATGTACTATAAATTGTATCTCATATTACATTTTTCTTACGTAATGGTGACGTAGTATTGTTTACGGAAAACGTTTGGAGCACAATTTATTATTGCTCATAGTCATGTTCAAGTGTCAAGTTATTAAGATTGTAAGGGAAGTACATGATCACTTATTACTTTCCTCTAAATGGGCACTTAATTTTTTCATACCCTTTCTTTGACTGATATAGTCCACTTCCCAACCGTTCAGTAAAAATTAAATTTAAGTACTTAGATTCATTTGGGAATGTGAAAATCTTATCGTTCAATTGTGTTCATCGATTCTCCCTTTTCTGGAATCCAGACTGCGGCTTCACTAAAATGTTGTTTATTCGTCGCTTTTATTGCTTGCTTTTTTCTGTTCGTTTTTGTGTGGGCTTTTATCTTGGTATTCAACAATTTCTTTTGCTTCTCAAGAGTACTGTAATTATTTGTGTACTACAGAGTTGTAGGCTTCTGTTTCAGTTTCGCAGCAAGTTTTCAGGTTCATCTGATTTTCCCAGCTTCTACATGTGTAACTTACTCAACAATTTCAATACCTATAAATTAAGAACAATTACGTTCTTTTAAAGATTAGTTGTTGACTACCACTAGTCTTTTCAGTTAGATTCTATGGCAACATCGCTGATCGCATTGTCAGGGATTGGGAAGGTAAAATTGACTACTCGCAATTGTTTCTGTAAGGGAATCGAAGTTTCAATCTGAAGAAAGTGGAGACACAGCCAACCTACTGGACACAAGATCAGACCAAGAAGGGGAGCAGATGTAGGTTCACACCACTCACTATCTACTGCAAGGAATCTAACTTCAAAATCAAGTTGAAAGTCTTCAAAGAAATTGGTAATAGACCACAGTTCAAGTTGAACACCCAGAACAGAAACTGAAAGACGAAACCACATCAGCCAGTCACCAGGACAAAATGGGAGATACTGAGCAACATCTCTGAGGAAACCTGCATGGAAGAACACTGGAACTCTGAAAACGATGTGGAAGGAAACCTGCATAACCATGTTAGGAAGGAAGAAGAAGCAAGACGAGATAAGAAATGGATGTGAACGGACACATGGAAGCTGATGAAGCAGGGAGAGGAAAATGGTGAAGCAGAAGGTGAACCAGTGCAGTGCAGAGATGAACAAGAAAAAGAAGAACTGAGTATAACGTATAAAATACTGAGCAAAAAAGCAAAGAAGAGTGCGCTCAAGGACAAAAGACACTTTTACGACACATTGGCAAGTGAAGCAGAACAGTCTGTAGGCCGGTAAGAGAGACCTGACAACACTATGTCGAGTAACCAGGTTACTATCTGGTAGGGAAAAGATCAACGCAGACGAAACTGATGAGAGATAGTGAAGGAAAGCTAGTTACTAAAGAGGAGAAAGGAAGGAAACGATGGGCTGACCACTTCATAAAACTCTTGAATCGACCACCACCACCACTACTGCAGTAGATTTCGAAGGAAGAGAGAAACGAAAGGTACATGTCCATTGATTGGAAGAAGGGCTACCTTGTCAAACTCCCAAAGAAGGGAGACCTAAGTCTTTGCAACAGCTAGGGCGGAATCATGCTCCACCCCTCTTGGCCCTAATGAAAATATTAAGCCATATCATCCTGGAAGAAGAGGAAAAAGAAGATTTGGATTTCGTCGATGATGATTCATGTCTAATGTCGCACAAGCTCAAAGAACTACAGACAAAAACCAACAAGTTGACAGAATCGGTGGGGTAGCGAAGATGGGACACTATTCAAGCGAACGTAGAGAAGACAGAAGTGATGAAGATACCCAACCAACAACAACAAGCACCAATCACCATCAACGGAAGAAACCCTAAAGAAGTAGTCTCTTTCACCTACCCAAGCAAGACAGCATCGTCTCAAATACAGGCAGTGGTGGCACATGCACAGATGAGGATGTCAAAGCCAGAATCGGAAAGACAGCAAGACAGGCCTTGATTAATCTGAGATGAGTGTGGAGATCTACTGCACTTAACTGTACTGCACTGCACTGCACTCAGCATAAAGCGTGTGTGAACAAGATCCGGATTTTCAACACTAATGTCAGTCAGTGCTTCTGTATGTGATGGTTGAGAGAGTTGGTGGCGCGTTACGAAAAGCATTTGGAACAAACTACAGAAATGCGTGATCAACAGCTGCTACGTACACTCCGTCACTCGATACTGAAAATGAGATGAGATGGCGAGAATAATAAGAACAAGCAAGGAGGAACTCTAACTGACTGACTGGCTGGCTGGCACCGAACCAACGAAGGAAGAACATATTGCCCAACAAATATGCAGAAGGAAGTGGAGATGGATTGGATTGGATTGTATCGGGCATACACTGAGAAGGGTGATTTGGGTTATCACATTTTAGGCCAGGTCGTCGATTGGAATGCAAAGGGGAAACGACGAGTTGGGTGTCCGAGGTGATGGTGACATGGAGGAGATGGTGTTTGTAAGAAATGGAAGGTTGTGGGGAGTCATGGAGTCAGGTTGAATAGACTGCAGAGAAGAGAGTGAAGTGGAGACGTGATGCTGAAGCCCTATATTCCACTAGGAACTCAAGGGACAAGTAATATAATAATAATAATAATAATAATAATAATAATAATAATAATATAAGGGAATCGAAGATACCATGCGTCAGTTCAGCAGGTGTGTTCATGTACGGAAATTCCATTGGGAGATGGAATCGTATTCTTAAATACTGCTGATTATATCTTGGTCTAATTCGATTCTTAATCCTACCTGGCTAATTAACGGTCGACACTTATCCCAAGTGACCATAGGTCGTTTCTCGAAGTCCTGATAATTGAAGTGTGATAGTGGCCTAATAATTAAACAGAATACTTCACAACCATGATATTTCTTTTCTTCTACTCTAAAACAGTGGTTCCAATTTCACTTCTCTCATCTTTTTAAATTTCTATGCTAAATTTGACCTGAGTCAAATGTACAAGTAGAAAAGCATGTCCATATGTTTAGGTGGTCACCTAAAAAGGTGAGAGAAACTGAAAAGGGGATAGCTAGGGATATTCTTGATAATTTTTGATAATTTACTTCAGAACGCCTAATCTCTCAACCTGGGATAATTCTACTCTAACAGATCGTCTATGGTAGAGATGTTATATCTGTGATCAAATTGAATTAAGTAGACAGAGATTTAAGAAATACGAAGTTGTGAAATTATTCTAATCGTCACCATGAGGCAAAGTACTCAAGGTAAACCGATAAACTTAAGATTATGATTTTCGTTATTCACCTCCGAATAGAGCATATATGCAAATGACAGAAAGCCAATGAAATTCTCTGTGAAGTCAATGTAAAAGAAGGATGAGTGGATCAGTAAAGCTAAATATTTTAAGATCAATTTAACAGTAACCAGAATTTGTCGTGATAAGTTCTATCTCGATTTCAAAGTCATGAACAAAAAAACGAAGGGAAGCTACATGAAACCAGCCTGAGAATAACAGAGATCTCGAGATTATGAAAGAGTTCTACTTCATCAGGCGTATAACTGAAGAGTTTAGACTCCATTTTATTCATCACTGCCTCGGAAACCAAAAAGTATCATTTAGTCTTTAAGTAGCAAATGTAATTTATCGTCGAAGACACGAGCGTTTAAGTTTCTGTCATATATTGTGTAAAAATGTTTGTAAAAGTAAATATTTAACATATATACAGAGAGAGAAGCTTTTTTCCCTGCAGTAATAGGCCAGATAATCACCTTTTTATAATTGTACAAGCGCAATCAAGTACCAGTATACAATGAAAGCAGCTGTTATTATTTTGTTACTTATTTTGAGTTATCCAGTTAGTTACCGTTCATTGCTGACATGACCACCTCAATTGTGACTCACATTCAGATAAATGAACTCGTACATTAACCATTGAAGTGTATGCATTATTGTATATTTTATAATCCATGTTTTTCGTATTTCTTAGTGAACAGATAGTTCGCATTAAAAACTGTGAACAACCACCAATGCTAATTGTTGCCAATAAATATGATCTAAAAGGTTCTATTCAAAAGGATTATACAGTTGAAGGTATGCACTATGCACAATGTTGGGGTGTGCCTTTTGTGGAGACATCAGCAAAGACGTGTTACAATGTTGAAAAGGTAAATTGTCTTACGCGGTTTCTTAAAATCCTAAGTAACATTACTATTTATTGATATACTTGAAATTCCTCTTTGTTTTATTAGATCGGATCGTTCGACCTGTATTAGCATATGGGCTCCTATGCGGATGCCTCGATATTGCCTCAATGTTAATTATGGTAATTTGGTTAGTTGTAGCTAGCAGGGGAATCTAGAACGTGCGTTCCGTCCTTTTTGGGACTGGTCAACTGGATGTGCCTGTGCCCCAGTGAGTGATGTTTTTCCCACCGAGACTCCAACCTCGTACCCATCGCTTCAAACGCCAAGACGTTATCCACTATGCTACGGAGGCACGATAGCTACTTCTTGTACAACGGGTATTAGTTATTACTATTTATTAATATACTTGTAATTCTCCGTTGTTTTATGGGATCGAATTGTTCGACCTCTATTGGCATATGGGTTCCTGTGCTGACGAGTCCTGAATAGGACGGAACGCGCGTCCTGCATTCTTCTGCTAGCCTTAACCAAGCAAATCACCATATTTCTGTATCAGTTAAAAGTACTCCGCATAAATGTATGCACTATCTTTTTTAATCTGTAATGATCTGTGTTTAGTGTACTTTACATTTTCTCCATAACATCCTTAATTGTCTCTTTTAGCCAACAGTATGTTCTGCAAGTGGCAATTGTTCATGTATGATTTAAGTAGAGGTCGTGTTTGGAAATAAAAATATTACCTCTGGATTCTAGTCATCAAATGCCCTTTCTTATTGTTTTTCTCATCAGGTTTTTCTTAATTATTTCCTACTACAATTGTTGTTATCATCGTCTTCACTATGTTGTTTTCCTCCTTCTTGATTTCTGTTCCCCTTGAGCTGATGAAATTTGATAACGTGAACTGATACATAGTCATACTAGATCATACCTTGCTTTTACTTGACTATTGTTATACCTAAATCACAACTTCATCTAAATGTAAACGGGCTCGCGTATATGACTAACCTTTTATGTGATTCTGACTTGCACCTATCCGCAATTCAAACAATTAATTAGTCACTTACATCTCGCTGCAACCGATAGAACAAAAGTTAGGGGATCGCTATCTTAATAATCACTGTTTGGCTCAGTTATATGTGATAAGTTACGAAGCCGAAATGTACAATAAGTCACATATCGTAAATTAGTCATTTCTTTTCAAGAAAATCAAATGACACTTTTAAATTATTGATTTTAAAACGGTTTTTACTAGGGATTAATACAATACAGGGAATTATTATAAACTAAGGAGCTCTAGACCGCTGTTGAAACTGATTATCGTCCCATCGCCTCCCAAAAGTTGTTCGTTCACATGATGAGGTACCATTCTTCAACGTTCATTAATGCAATCACGAATAAGGAGTCATATATATATATATATATATATATATATATATATATATATATATATATATATATATATCCTCTAGTACACGGTGTAATGAATTGAGTTACATTACTTTATGTTGTTCTGAGAAAGACTGAAGTGTGCGTTGTGTAATGGATTGTCGAATTTCAACATCCCATTTATCCGTTTCCCATATTGGGTGTTTTCACTGTTTTCTCTGATTGTTGATTCTCCTCATTTGTGATGCCAAAATACAAGCTAATAAACATAGAGTCCTACACACTAGTTCATTTCATTACATCTTGAAAGAATTTAGAAGGAAAGCAAAATTAATGTGATGAAATGGCGATACACAGATGTACTGATGATTTTGGTGAATTTACATACATCCATTAAAATAAATCTTGAACCACATCACCTAACATCTCTGGACGCCGATTTTCAGTGTCTCTTGTATACTAATTAGGAAGTCTACACATATTATTAGAGAAGTTGCATGTTGAACTGCTAATTTCCATATTGTTTTAATTAATCCTTAAATACAATAATTTCCTAACCAAGCTTTCTCTGTCACCTTTTACCTTTTAGGTATTTATGGAAATCGGTCGTAAAGTTCGTCAGTCTCAGTTGGCTAGTATACAATATCCGAAACAGGTTCAAAAACATAAGCGGAGGAAAAGGTGTACAATATTGTAAGAGTTACAAATACCTGTATATCCTCTAAACATAATGCTTGCAGTCTTTCTTTTGTTGCTTTTTGTGCATAATAAATCAACAGCCAGACTTCTACATTTGTAGAAAAACAATAGGCACCTTTCTTCAAATGAAAAGTAAACGAAGATACCTGAAATACACATGATTCGTCTGCCATCTGATATGATATTTCTTCACTTTATCAATTAATTGAATTGTCTTTATGATTCCGTTTCAGTTGCATATAATTTCTTCTATTCTTTTATGTTCTTCATGTTCTGTATGTATACGGTGCAAGTATGTAAGATATCACTTTTATATGGTTGTGCTAATTTGGGGGAGGAACATTGCTCATATAATTTAGTTAAAATATTGTGTAATTATCACCCGAACATCCGGTGTTGAAGCTTTCTTCTATTATTTATTTATTTATGCCTTTCAAATGATTGACATCTGCGTCGAATTAACGAAATTCTGTATACGCACTTACACCGACAAGTAAGAATGAATGAGTACGAAAATAGGGAGGATTGTGAAAAGCAACTTTCAAAAATACTGAAAGTATAATAGAAATAAGAAATAACACACAGAAACATAATGCTGATTAGTTATCGAAACAAATAAGTTGTTGCTACGGTGATCGATTTAAAAGCTCAACAGAACGACAAAAGAATGAAGTGACCCATCTAAGCGAAAATATCTCTAATGTACACACACATATGAATGTACAGATACGGAATAACTTAGATATGCGTGCGCGTGTTTGTCTGTGTATACACGTTTCAGAGGGATATGCGGACATGTGGATTCATAGCATGTATAGGTCTTGCATGAAGAACAAAGTAAATCAACAGGAGAAGCATAACAGAAACGGCGAAATAGGAAGGCGAAGAGAGGTCAAATCGCAAAAAGCAACCGAATTACACATGTTTGAATTAGTGTCTGAATGTGAACCTTCTAAATGATGAAGATAAATTTGTAGAGAACAAAATCATCCAGTAGCAAAGAAGAAAAAGGTGGATTATTATCTATGGCGGGTTATTGCTACTGGATGATTTTGTTCTCTACAAATTTATCTTCATCATTTAGAAGGTTCACATTCAGACACTAATTCAAACATGTGTAATTCGGTTGCTTTTTGCGATTTGACCTCTCTTCGCCTTCCTATTTCGCCGTTTCTGTTATGCTTCTCCTGTTGATTTACTTTGTTCTTCATGCAAGACCTATACATGCTATGAATCCACATGTCCGCATATCCCTCTGAAACGTGTATACACAGACAAACACGCGCACGCATATCTAAGTTATTCCGTATCTGTACATTCATATGTGTGTGTACATTAGAGATATTTTCGCCTAGATGGGTCACTTCATTCTTTTGTCGTTCTGTTGAGCTTTTAAATCGATCACCGTAGCAACAACTTATTTGTTTCGATAACTAATCAGCATTATGTTTCTGTGTGTTATTTCTTATTTCTATTATACTTTCAGTATTTTTGAAAGTTGCTTTTCACAATCCTCCCTATTTTCGTACTCATTCATTCTTACTTGTCGTTTTGTTATTTTTCAGTTGGTGTTATACTTGTCTCTTGTTTGTTTGTTTGTTTTGTTTGACTGTTTAAAGCGATGAAAGTCGATGATCAGTTCCCTTTGTTTGAACTTTTAAGTTTTCAGTTTTCTTTGTTTTTATTTCACAGTTTATATACATACTCTGTGCTATCAGTTTTTCACAACACTTGTATGTTTGACGTATGCAAACACACGAAGAACAATGTTTTTAAGAATGCAAATACTGAAAAAGTTCACTAATGTTGCTTTCTTTCCCTATCTATTCTTGTCCTATTTTGTCAATATGTAAACAACTGTCATATTGCTTACTGTTCATATGTGCTATCGATAATATAATTAGGTCAATGGATCCTCCACACTATTTTGTTACTGTTTGTATCTATTTAAAGTGACGAACCTTTTTATTTCTCAGTATGAATATGAGATATTCCGTATACGTTACGAAATCACTGAGTTCACCCGTTGCGGTATTAAACACTACTGCGATATCACATACCAACCTGCTGCCATGCATTAGTGAGTGGGTTGAATGAAATCTAAAAATTCCAAAACGCAGACATACTGTCAGTCTGTTACATCACTGACCAGTGATTTCAACTGTTTAAGGAAGTTGGGGTTTCGTAATGGATATTCCTTAAAGTGTGAGCAACTACCGGTTAGATCGCATAGGTGATATATACCTCAAAGTAGATGTTGATGGGCGTTTACAATAATGGTAACCAATGTAGGTGTCAAGTTCTAAGTGCTGGTACAAATGATTCTGCTACTTGAACATTACGTATCTTATTTAAAGTTTTTCTAGTGCTGACAGTATTTCGTTTGATCAAAATGAAACTAATTTATAGGATGAAAGTCATCCCACATTCCCCTTGCTCGTATTTCCGATTTGTATTCACTTATCAAAAGAATATGTGACCAATTATTTTAGTAGGAATTGTTTCATTACGTGTGTACATCGATGAATTGAATATCACGACACCTAAAATAGATAGTTCTATGTACAGTCTGTGTTAAAAAAGGGTCATTTTTCTCCAGTTGTTGTATGAACACTTAAGTTGTCATTCAGTAGCACGACTCATACAGCACAAACACTTTAAAAAAACATTTTGTTGACTGGAAACCTACATACAGGCAAGGAAAGATTAGAATACTATTTTATTCCCACCTATCAAAGTTGTCAGAAGATAGCCAGTAGCTAAAAGGCCTTGATCCCTTCTCGCCTTTAGTGTCCCATTCCTTAGATGCTGACATCGCATCTCTAAAGTGTTTCCAGACTGAAGACTTTCTAGTTCAGAAATTCGCTCACAATAGTCCACTGAAGTATTAAATGTTCTAAACGGACGGTGTACATTATTTATAAGATGTCCAGAAGTTCACTTGAGCACTTATTTTTCGCAGTCACCTATCGGCAATGCTCTTAAGATTCATATCCATTAGTTACAAAGCATACTGTAACTTAGTATAAAATAATGATCATGAAGAATACTTCACAAAGTCAGTAATTATGAAAACGATTTTGAGAGATTTAACGGCATTAGACTTTTTCAGATTGTAAACTTTGCACGTTTACTCATTAACGAAACCCTTTGCTAAAATCGTTTGAATTAATCAGTGAATTAATGTTAAGATTCTGACGAACTTCCTCCTAATTGGCGGATATGCAGCAAGAGTATTTGTTGACTGCCAGTTGTGCATCTGGATCATAAGGAGAGCTTCAGAACTGAAAAATTGTCAAACCCAAAGGCCACCTGGGTCATTTGAAATACTTTAGCTTGGCTTTGCAACAGATCTGTTAGTTATTGAGCTAATTTAGCACTATCCGGTCTAAAACAGCGGTTGGAAGATTACTGAAACAAGGGATCTGAGTACTTTCTAAAAAATACTCTGCAACAGGACATTCTTCAGTTGCCTATACTTCTTGAAGACCAGTTAAACACTGTTAACGCCAACTAACTGTGATAGAAACTGTAGTGATCCCTTTGCTAATTCACATTTTTGACTTATGATCATTATGCCATATTCACATAGTAGTTTGGAAATTGTTTGAAACCACGATGAGTGCACTATGTTCGCTACTACTAACTACTCTATGTATGCAATAATGGAAAACAAACCGTGGAGTACTCGATCTGTAACTATAAGATGAGGACATCAGTTGTCAGTTCAAATTATCTGGAGTCGTTAGTGACTTCAGTTTTAGGAATATCATTAGGTTCAACCTCAGTCAAATGATACTTTCACAGGAGATTAGTTCTGGAGATAATGACTTTTATCAATTAGTCCGCAATATGAAGAATGTGTTGAATCGGGTATTTATGCGCAAATATCTGCTAGTTCAACAATATGTGGTCACCGTATGGTTGTATTTCACTGAATATATTTTTGGGAATCGCTTGTAGGAGTGTTAATCTTGTGCTGTTTGTTGGAATGGCGTATAACTCCAAGCTTCAAAAGCCCACAAGATTCCTGCTAAGTTTCGCTATCTAGTTGATTAGATTTTGATTCGACTGATTTCAAATTTTTCGCATAGTTAGACTGCATGAGTTTAAGAAACTTTTGTAGTCGGGTATCATGTGTAGAAGTCCTGGCTGTTTGCGATGCTACCAAAATAGAATGCTCACGATTAAGCTAATTGTTTGATGACGAGTTCAGTCGACTGACAGCTCAATGCTGGAGAAATTCCACCCCAATAATTGGTAATTGAGTATCAGTAATGGCAAATTGTAAGTGAATCTGCATGTAAAAGCCAAAATTCCTAGTTTAAGCTCCATTCATCTTCGATGTTTTTGCTGCTGGGTTGGTATGATGTTTTACGGTAGGACCACCTAATTTGACATCAGTATCACTAAAAATCTCAACACTGGTATCTTATTCGCCAAACGAAACAGACAACTGTGTGTTGCATTCATACTGGTGACAGCAGTCGTCACTGACCTTTCAGTTTCCTGAGTCATTGAGTGACTTCAAGTCACGCATTGAAAGACCAAGTCGTGCTCTCTTACCGAGTTTTGGATATTGCAAGCACACATTACTTCTTGGCTTCTGGCTTTTTCACGTTTACGGGATCTGATTCTTACTTGCTTCTATGGCCGTTTCTCTAACTGCATTTCCATTAGTTTTCTCAGAAAATGAATCTGTTTACCCTGATGGTTTCTTCTTGGCTCAGCAGCACGTTCGACCTGTCTTGGCAACCTTTCAGTTTTGACCAACCTATTCGCTACCCAATCACCATCAACGGGAGGGACCTAAAGAAAGTAGTCTCTTTCACCTACCCAAGCAAGACAGCATCGTCTCAAATACAGGCAGTGATGGCACAGACACAGATGAGGATGTCAAAGATAGGATGGGAAAGACAGCAAGACTGACATTCCTTCATTAATCTGAAATAATCAATGTGGTGATCTACTGTAATGCACTTCACTGTACTGTACTGCACTCAGCATAAAGCGTGTGTGAACAAGATCCGAATTCTCAACACTAATGTCAGTCAAGTGACTCAGTGCTTCTCTATGTGTTGATTGAGAGAGTTGGCAGGCACGAAAAGCATTTGCAACAAACTACAGAAATGCGTGATCAACAGCTGCAGCCTACTCTCCCTCACTCGATACTGAAGATGAGATGAGATGGCGAGAATAATAAGAATAAGCAAGGAGGAACTCTGACTGGCTGGCTGGCACCGAACCAACGAAGGAAGAACATATTGCCCAACAAATATGCAGAAGGAAGTGGAGATGGATTGGATTGGATTGTATCGGGCATACACTGAGAAGGGCGATTGTGGACATCACATTTTAGGCCAGTCGTCGATTGGAATGCAAATGGAAACGACGAGTTGGGTGTCTGAGGTGATGGTGACATGGAAGAGATGGAAGGTTGTGGGGAGTCATGGAGTCAGGTTGAATAGACTGCAGAGAAGAGAGTGAAGTGGAGACGTGATGCTGAAGCCCTATATTCCCCTAGGCACCCAAGGGACAAATAATAATTCACTGTCCATTTCGATAATTCCCCACACTAATGCCTGTTTTCTGTGCCATGCATGGTGGATCTATCTGTTGTCTGAGTTCACATCCTTCAGAAGACACTTTATATTCTCCAATTTTGATAATTTTTTGCTACCGAGGTATGCACCACTTACCATCTAGTCGACAGCTCGCTGATCAAACAAAGAACTGGCTGTGATCATTCTAAGAACAGCATATAATGTAATGTACCTGAGAATTGTTTTTGAAAAAGTCTTTCGTATCTATTCTCTGAATTCATCGGATAGAATAGTCCTTGTATAAACGAACTTCCGATTTTGGTACATGATGTAGTTGGCCGCGAAGTAGTATATTCTAGACAGGCAAATAAGAAATGGAGATTCATGAGCTTAGAAGAAAACTCCACGAAGACCAGTCATATCCACTTGCCAAATATCGAAGGGTATCTGAATTTTAGGGTTTGCGGAGATTAACAATGGTTTGTTAATACATAATTATAGTGGAAGCAATAATAATAATAATAATGCAAACAGGTGCAGATAGTCTGCAACTTACGATTCTTGGAATATATATTCGATTATTACGTAGGTGTTACTTATTAACAGTAGGTTTATCACAATGAAACTAATGGTAATATCCACTGGTTGTGAATGAAGAAGTTATCCATACCACTTTAGTACTAGGTGTGCCCTGTTCCATTCTGTTTACTAGAATTCTAAAATACTAATTGGTAAACAAACAAGAATTTAGAAATAAAAACAGTGAAAAACACTTTTACCAATGAACTGTACAGTAATGATATTCCTCCACAAAAAAACAAAATGCTCTTCATTATTTTGGTATTCGCATTTTTCAGTGAATATTAAGCAAATTTATTTTAACTGATGTTTTGCTGTTTGGTGCTAATAGCTTTATCAAGGTTGTGGTGAACCGGAATTTACAATATCCAAGCTCATATATGATAGCTTGATAGGAGTTTTTCTAGAAGGATGATTCTGCATTGTCAAACTATTGAGAAAAGATGATGTCAGTTGAAGGCAGTCGATAGGAAGCCCTAGACCTTGGTTTCCTGCCTGTTGGTACTCGTCAGGAAGGTGTATCTGCAACTCCGAAGGGACTGATATTCTCTGAGATCCTATTGTGTGAGGGCTACTGACACTACCCGGTTGTTCAAACCTTCGTAGGTCAAATGTTTGAACACCACGCCACCTACCGAGGTTTGGGCAACTTGTTAGTAGCATTAGTCTTCATACAATAAGTGTGGCTTATTGCCTACTGCATAGACGTGTACATAGTTACTGAATGCATTTCGACTTTCTGAAATTCGAACGGGTGCCACTCAATGTCGCAGTCGGGCAAGTTAAGATAGCTATTCTGTCCGAGATTGACCTTTTGTTTGACTGGATTAGCTACAGTGACTGGTCACTAGAGAGCAACCAGTTTCATGTTGTCTAGTCCCCTACTGCTGACTGAGTTATATTGATCAGTTTGCGATTAGACCACCAATAGCTCAGTAGTAACGTCACTGACTGGGTGACACGGATTCGAATCTTAGGGGGGACATCAGTTCCATCGAGGTTGCAGACATGCCTTGCTGATGAATTCCAAGAAGCACGAAACTTAAATCCAGGGCTTGCTGGTGATTGTCTCCAACAAACTAACAAATATCGCTCTAATTTAGAGTCATATATGATATGTTGTGTACTGAACTAAGATTCCTTGCATCATGTTTTACTGTATATTCTGGATGTTATTTTCCCATTAATCTGGAAAACGCGATTCGCCTTTTTCAAAAAAATCGTGAAAATAGGATTCACTTTGTTGGAACAGTTTATGAATAGATTCAAGCATATCTAGGTTAATTAGTCTCGCTAAACAGTGATCATTATTTCTAATCCGCGCTCGATAAAATTGAAGCTTTACAGTCCTATTATGTACTGTTTCACGCGAGAATATGTGGAAGTATGTTGTACTGCAGGAATAGATTAATAAGAATTTTAAAGAGGTTTAACACGTAAAGATTGGAGGATAATTCCCCTGTGTAGAAAACGCAGATTAAAGATTCGATAATTATATAAGTTATCTATATGCTGTGATAGCGTTATCCGGTTTTTAGTTAATATACACATGTTCAAACCAAGTTGAGATTCTATGTTGTTACTTATTACTCGATTCCACTGCTAACCACTAGGTATCATTAATACAAGTTGAGATTTGATGGTTGCTAAGGCTATTATCATTAAATAACAAAACATCAGTTAAAGTAAAATTTATTTTGTCTTACATTCACTGGTAAATACAAACACTAAAATAATGATCATCATTTACCCAATGCCTAAATTTTTCACACCAAATCTCAACTTGGTTTAGATATCTATGAAGTGTTCTTATTAACGTCAGTCAGTCAGAGGAATATCAATCCCCTGAATTGCGTTATCATGTCACTGTAGCCGAATCAGTGATTAGAAATGTTTCTTGCCACCAAATGTAACATATTCACAAGTAGAGACATAAGTCGAAATCAGATAAACATTCTTGCTAGTCGACGCCAAACTATTTTATGCAAATAGTGTCAAACAACAGACCGGATTTTCGCATGAAAGGTATGATTCTCATTTCACAATTGAAATAATACAAGCAGTACATCATTAAAAAGCATCTCAACTAAATACTTCTCAGTAAATTCAATCTATGTTATGCGGCAATTTCCCACATTTTCGGCTTTATTCCACTAACAGTGTGAAAAAAAATAAACCGCTTAAGGTAACGAGTGTTACTCACCTAATGTTTTCATTTAAATCAATTAAAAATCCATAGTTGTAACACATCTCACTCTGCAGTCTGTACACATCAGCATATACATGTAAGTTGTATGCTATATAATGCACACAGGCCTATTGATGCCCATAACGCATGTGTTAATCGATTTTTGCCAAAAATATTCCACCATATCGTGGCTTGTAGCCTAACTATACATCAAACAGTATTGGTTAGTTTAAATTGACCACAACTAGGTCTTAACCTAGCCTAAAATATATATACGGGTGTATAACATAAAAGTGAGGCTAAGTTAGAATTATTTAACCTGTTGAGTTTTTGAACTATGGAGAATCTGAATTCCAAATATATACCACACAAACCACTGCTAGACTTAAACAATTCGATGGACTTTATTGAATGTACACAAAATATTCCAAAAGTAGGAGACAAAAATAATGTCAGCGATAACAGCAGCTGGAATTCGGATGTATTGCCAGTTAGTTCTATAAGTTTATATTACCCTATTATAAATTTGTTTACTTTATACAGAAGAAATTCAACAAATGTCCACTTAATCCTGTTCATCTCTCACAAAATGATGATATTAGACAGACTGAAACGCAAGACACTAAGGCAATTGTTCAGTTATTACAACATGAATTCTCCAATCGCGAAGAAAGCAAGCAGTATTCAGAGAGGGAGATCACCTACAATGTAAGCATTATCAGCATAATTTTCTCCTAGAATATTTTTATCATTATTCGAATTGTTATTTTCTGTTTCTCCTTCACATTGTAGATACTATTACGCAAACTGGTTGACCAGTATCTGGACAGGACAGTTACCTATTCCCAACAGCCTAAACGTATTATTTTCATCTTGAAATCTGTGCTTGAGAGAAATTTCCCCGAGTACACTGATTCATTTCATCGTGAAAGAATATGCACCTACTTGAAAGCGTGTAAACGTAAGGCAAAGAAAAAAAATGGTGAACCATATGTGAGGATAAAGGCACGTTATCTGAATGTTGGCACGGCATCCAGATTAGCCGAACAGATCTATCTTGAAGAACATAACTATTTGGTAAATGCAATCTCAGTGAGTAGGCAAATTGTTGATCATTATTTTTTTAGAATATCAATAATAATAATAATAATGGTCGCTCACTAAACCAGTCAGTAACACCCAGTGATTACTATGAGAATAGGAGACATGAGATTCCAAATTTCAATACATTCTTGAACCAGCACAACCAACGACAAGATCAAAGTCACCGTCTTGAATTAGCACAAAACAGATCACCTGCAACCTCGCATATACTCAACAATAATGTTATTTTGAAGGGGACCGATAACAGTAATATTCCTATAAATTCTTCTGGTGACCCAATTTCTATTTCACGCAATCCCATGTCTCAACAGGTAGGTCAATTATCAATATCTAACTTTTATTTGATGCATAGTATATTAATGGACTTGCACTTGCCAAGTTGTGGGAACAAATAGCTCAGTCTCTTCTGTTTATGGCTGATTGTTTAGATGCTGGTCAAGATATGTTTTCAAACAATCAACCTTCTAACGGCAAAATATAGACTATTCTTTTCTTTATACTATTTATGCTATAGATATTGTGTATTCCATCATTTCTCTTGCTGTCATCACTAATCCTATTCCTGTTTATTACTTAACCTTGTTTCAATGTTGTTCATTTATATAAAAGAGAGTGAATATAACTGTTTAAATGCGAATGGTCTTCGTCAGTAACTTCACCATTAATAACAGTATTACAAACAGTGGTTGGAATATTACTCAAATTTGTTGACCCCTTGGTCATTTAGATAATCCGACATTTGCTACAACCACGGTACAAACCAATATACACCATTTTGGTATACATTACTGGTGCACTACCAGTTCAAGCAAGTATATTTTGGTGCAGTACTTCGAAACTTTACTTTTGTCGAATAGAAGAAATGTTTTTTATGATCAATGAAGTGTCATAGTAGATAGCGACTTTGATTTCGGTTCAAATGCATGGTTTTCATGTTAGTGGCTTGTTGCCACTGCGACTCAAACGTCGGAGCTTTACACACTAAGTTAGTGGGTTACAACGGCCACCTTTTGTGCGATGGATATCTTTTATTATTTCTCGATATTTTGAGCTTCTTGTTGATAAGTATATTTGGTCGAATTAGTTAGTCCCTCTTGTCATATGAACTCCTTAAATAGGTACCTTAATATTATCTCAAGTTTAATTTTGGTGTTACCCGCTTGATGGTGCCTAGCAGCATATCCCAGAACGTCCATTTCATCCTATTTCGAAATTTTCAACAGCATATACCTACATCCCAGCGAGTGATGATGTTTAGACTGAGACTTGAACTCAGCACTCATCACCTCAAATTCCAATAGGCTACTTACTGAGTCATATTCGTCTTCCATAACAATGATCTAATCATTCTTCAGAAGGATATGTCTGATATAAAACGATTTTGTGAGTAAGATTATTCTTTTGGCATTGTATCTGATATATCAGTCATCTTGCGGACATGAATATAGGTATATCGGCTTCTCAAAATGAAAGGGATACCGACTGAGATAATCATAACTAATATTTTATTTATATTGAACTTTGTCACTCCGAGATATTCTGAGACAAAAGTGTATTCCGATATGGCAGAAACCATTAAGTATTTCTGAGGTTAGTGGGTATCATAATTAGTGACATTCTTCGAGGTGAATATCCCGGAGTTCTAATGAGAAGCCATGACCTCTGTGGTCAACCGGTCGGAAGTGAAGCGAATAATAAGTGAAGACCTTGATCGATAGTCGCGCTTTATCGCGAAATGACGGAAATTGGAAACTGTGGACCGCTGAACTGCAACCCAGTGGCTGGATGATTAACGCGTTTGTCTTAAAACTTGAAGGTCCTGAGTTGGATTCGTGGTGAGGTCGTGGGTGCGTTCTGCTGAAGAGTCCCATGCTGGGACGAAACAACCGTCCAGTGCTCCCAGGTTTTTAATAGTTCTTCAACTGCCTTCAGTCTGTTATGAATACTACCCGATAAACCATTAAGTACCTGAGAAAGTTGTATAAACGTCATTGTAGTCCTATGGATTTATATAAATGCTAATGACTAAAATGTTACGGTTCAATTGGGAGGAAGCGCTGGAACTTGGTTGTATTCATGTTGGTATCCATCAGTTATATTCGTCTGAAACCTAAGGGAAATTCACGTTTACTCGAAAACCCGAACCTGCATCACTCAGTGCTGATGCTACAGAATTTCCAACTCAGCTATATACGTCACAATTTACACCTCATAGAACTGGATCACGCGCACAAACGGTCATTCGTCAGTTAACAAAGTAACTATTAATTCCTAGGTGCTAATTTAAGTGCATTGAAATATCATCAGTATTAGCAATATCATAATTGTAAATTATAAAATCTCATCTAATTGTTTAGTGGGACGCAAATGGTACACCTAACAGTTGGTAACTTTGCGCCTAATCTGCGGGGATATCGAAGAACATCATGCATGAGTTTGGTGATAGAGAATCACAAGTGACGCCAGAGGAATCTGGATGAAAGAAGAATGAGAGTGAAATGTGACCCGATGGCTTGTTAAAAACAGAATGCACTCATGTTTAGTGATAACAGCTTCTGATATCGCTAGTTACTACTGCAAAAAATAAACAGCGAACGGTAATCTAGAAATTTTTTAAAAAGGACTGAAAATATGCTACAGACTTTGAATCCGTGATATAAAGTACTTTCAAATCAAGTAATATTTTCATTTTGATATTCATCATGGATTGACATCAGTTAGAGAACTGGTGAAGACCTGAGAGCGAATCGAAGCTGTTTTGTCCTAGTGGACTCTTCAGCCGTGCGTATCTATCAGCCCGCACCACCAGAGGTCAAACCCAAGGCCTTTACTGGAAAGTTGATTCTCATCTCAGTGCTATAAGTATTCCAAGTGTATAGCTATCATCCGCCCTTGCAGCTATTATTTGAAGTTATGTAAACAAATTTCTGTTCAGATAAAATTCTCACTTATCAGAAATAAGCTTTGATCTTCTAATTAGAATATGGTAAATGATGAGAAATCATTGATGCAGTGGTTTTGATTTTATTTGTTTGAGAAAACATCATGAGTATAGGTGATTTTACGATTTCTGGATCTGTGCAACCGGCAGAATCACCATCACAATATAACAGTTGTTCTGTACAGTCACTAAGCATTTTTTGTAGTTTGTTGTACGTTATCACACTGGACAGAATTTCAGTCAAGTATATACTAAAAGGAATTTGGTGACTACCACTAAGCTTTGAATTATTGTTGACAAGCTATTGGTTATTTGATGGTTAGATCAGAACTACCTCATCTTGTATACAAGTATTTGTTTATTCCTATAAAATAATGCTACATCGATGTAGTCAGGTGATCATCAGTTACGTATATTAATATTCACTCAGCTTGTGTCGATATTATCAAAGTTCTGATACGAATCTCAGCCAGGTCACTCAGTCTGATATTGAGTAAACTAGATACCAACCTCACCTAGTTAACCAGTTCACTAGTTACTACCCGGTCCTAAGCCAGAGTACCTTATCAAACTCCTAAAGAAGGGCGACCTAAGTCTTTGCAAGAACTGGCGAGGAATCATGCCGCCGTCCACCCAAAGCAAGCAAAATATTAAGCCTCATCATCCTGGAGAGACTAAAGGATGCGCTGGATTCAAAACTACGACGGGAACAGGCTGGCTGGATTCAGGAAGTACAAATCATGTGTGGATCAGATTGCATCACTACACAACGATGCGCATCACCATAGAACAGAGTATAGAATGACAGTCGACTGGATCTTTACCTCATCTTCATCGATTTTGAAAAGACCTTCGACAGCGTCGACCGAGAAGTGATTTGGTAAGCAGCTGCTTCAACACTACGGTTTTGGTGCCACAAACCTTTTCCAACCTCATTCAACAGCTACATGACGACACCACATGCCGAGTGATTCACAATGGAAAGCCCAGTGACGCCTTTGAAGTGAAGTGAAGACAGGGGATAGGAGTAAGACAAGGCTGCCTACTATGACCGGTGATCTTTCCGGTTGTGGTGGACTGTCATGCAGCAAACCGTGAGAAGGGAGAAGACGGGCACAGGCTGGCTGAAATGATGAAAAGACCTTAGAAGATTTGGATTTCGCCAGCCATGATGATTCTTTTCTGTTGTCTCGTGGCACAAACTTGAAGATCTACAGGCGAAAACCAAGAAGTTGATAGGAGCGGTAGGGCAGTGAAGATGGGACACTATTGAAGTGAAGGTAGAGAAGACAGAGGTGATGAAGATACCCAACCAGCAACAGCATCAACAACAAGCACCAGCCACCATCAGTGGGAGGAATCTGAAGGAGGTAGTCTCTTTCACCTACCCAAGCAACACAGCATCGTCTCAAATACAGGCAGTGACGGCACAGGTACAGATGAGGATGTCAAATCCAGGATGGGAAAGACAGCAAGACTGTCCTTCCTTCATTAATCTCAAATAATCAGTATGGAGATCTACTGCACTGCACTGCACCCAGCATAAAGCGTGTGTGAACAAGATCCGGATTTTCAACACTAATGTCAGTCAAGTGACTCAGTACTTCTCTATGTGATGGTTGAGAGAGTTGGTGGCACGTTACGAAAAGCATTTGGAACAAACTACAGAAATGCGTGATCAACAGCTTCTGCGTACACTCCGTCACTCGATACTGAAGATGAGATGAGATGGCGAGAATAATAAGAATAAGCAAGGAGGAACTCTGACTGACTGACTGACTGACTGACTGACTGACTGACTGGCTGACTGGCTGGCTGGCACCGAACCAACGAAGGAAGAACATATTGCCCAACAAATATGCAGAAGGAAGTGGAGATGGATTGGACATATCCTGAGAAGACCAGTTGTGGACATCACGTTTTAGGCCAAGTCGTCGATTGGAATGCAAAGGGGAAACGATAAGTTTGGTGTCGGAGGTGATGGTGACATGGAGGAGATGGTGTTTGTAAGAAATGGATGGTTGTGGGGAGTCGTGGAGTCAGGTTGAATAGACTGCAGAGAAGAGAGTGAAATGGAGACGTGATGCTGAAACCTTATATTCCACTAGGAACCCAAGGGATTAATAATAATAACAGTAATAATAGTGTGTACAATATTTAGAAAGTCAGCTATTGTTTCACACTAGTTTATAAAGCTCTCAAATGTCGTCTATTCGATTGCTAGCACAAGAACCCAGAACTCGCGCTCTGTCCTATTCAGGACTGAATGTACCTGCACCCAAGTGAGTGACGGGGAGGTACGTTCGGCCGACGAGTCCCAGATGGGACGAAACGTGGGTCTTGGATTCTTCTGCTAATCACCAAACAGACTACAATGTAATGTATATCCAGGCAATATCGAGGCATTCGCATAGGTACCCATCTCCCGGAAGAGGTCCAGTAATTGGACCCAGTTTAGCAACGGAAAATCACAAGTTTTAATAAACAAATTCTCAACTATTGATTGATATTGCCTCCTGTTGTCAATTAAACCAGCTAGA